TCTTCGTAGTTTGTTGTTGTTGTTGTTGTTGTTGTTGTTGTTGTTGTGTTTTGTGGAATTCCTTTACTTTGAACATAATTCACTCATATTCTTCTTTTCATTTACACCTTTCCACACTTTATGCGGTTTATTCAGTAGTTAGTTTAGAATTTCCTTTAAAATTATTCTCATTTTATTTTCACATGTAAGTATTTTTGTATTCATACTTCCTCCCTAAGCATGTGTCATTGAAAATGTCACGTTTACAACAAAAAGTTTTTCTTCCGTTTCTTTATAATAAAAAAGAAAAAAAAAACAAAGCAAAAGCCCTTAACTTTGCATAAATTTTGAACAGATTTATTTGAAAAACTAAAACATATCGGCGGGAAATAATGATAAAATATATGTACAATATATGTACAATATAATCGATATGTGCTTGTATGTTTGTATGTAAATGCTTTCATTAAGCAATAAAAAGAAAATGTAGATGATTTATACAGAGCAAAAGAAGTTCAAGTGTTGTCTACCACACGCATGGGAAGATCCGAAAAACATATTGTGAATAGATTCTTCGGCGATCTTAAACTTAATTCCACGCATAACGTTTAACTTCTAAGCTAAATTTCAGTATAGACAACATACGTATATTTTGTCAAAAGAAGCATTAAAATTAAATTTGAAGTGGATTTCAATCAAAGCGATGTATTATATAAGATTTTTAAGTTGTTATCTATTCTAATATGATTCATGTAACATGAAGTACCGTCACGATGTTGGGATTGAAAAAATGTCGATTAATTTACTTTGAGAGAAATGGTGTTCCTATAAGTGTTCGGTGTTCGATGGCACACGGAGTGAGGAACCTGGCAGCACACGTCAGGAGGATTATTAACGGCCGAATACCAGCTGCGGGCAGCTATAGGTGTAGCTGTAGCACTGTAGCGAAAGCAAGCCTTATCCTTACCTCCGAATTTCTTTTGGTCAGGCATCCGATTGGTCGAAATATGCTGTTCCCACTATCAGACCGGAGCTCGGAGATATGATAAGAGAAGAAAATGAAGAAACAAGAAATAATAAATCCCTCTGGTCAAACTTTGCATGTTGCAAACTCGGTCAGCAATTGAAAATTCACAGAGAAAGCTGCCAAAAATGGGACCCGTTCATACTATGCGCGCGGATATGGCGGAGCGAATATAAATATATAGACAGAGCCCAAGTTGTGCAGAGAAACCTCGAAACGGGGACCACTACTCTTCTTTACTGGAACAAGGAAAAACCTTTACCTTGAAGGATACCTCGTAATTCACCACAACTCACGTCACGGTCGATACTTGTTAAACGTTCGACAACGATAAAGCTGGCGAGGTGTACACAACGCCGGCTAGACCTGGTCTTATAATAGGCCCCCTGAGAAAGGCACAAGAGGAAAAACGCGTCTAACGCAACCACCGTCACGGGAGTAGAGAGGGCCGCCATCTGTCTCTCATATTCCGATAGCCTCTACACCTCTAAATCTGGAATATTAAGGGCATTCCCACCACCCTGTGGTGTGAACGGCGTCTTATCTTTAGACTTTTATCCACTGTAACAGATTTCCGTCAGTCATATAATGAATTTATGAGAAAGCATCAATCACACTTCCTAGAGAATTCTTTGTTCGTGTTTCCGTCTTAATGTACTAAGAGCCAATGAAAGGTATCAAGTCTTTCGGTCATTCTGGATCTCTTTATAAATTTGTGTTTTTCAACTTTCGTTACGGTAAACCAAGGGTTACATTGGTTCCGCACACCACAGCAAAAAACATGCATAAGACCATAAAAAATTCATCGAACACCCTCTCCTTTATTTAAATGCCCCTTCAAAGGGTTGCTTTCTATCTGCAATATTTTAAAATGTATTTTAACCTATAATAAAACATACGAAATGGGAAAACTGCCTGAATACGATATACGTAGTAACACTTTATATATTATAATAACCGTTTAACGCCTAATTTAATAATAATAAGACCTTTTTCTTTCTCTTTCTGGGGCCAATTCATATTTTTTTAAAAAAGCAAAAGTCATAAAAAGTCAACAAGCGCACATTCGTTTCCCTCATTACTCACACCGTTAATTTAGACTCCGTTGCTACATCCTTTGGCATCACTAATATGTTATAATGATAATATCAGGAAAAAGATATCTGATATTATCTTCATATGTATTCAGATCAACATTGTAAAAAATGAACAAAAACTCTTTCTCGACTTGCAGCCTATTGCCTAGATTTTAATGGTTATAAATCCAGTCACGTAATAAGCGCGCGTTTAACGTTAAGAATGCGTAACTATACAAACAATTGTAAAGCGCACGTACATTAACTTTTTTTTTTTTTTTTTTTTTTTTTGTAAATCCTATGTACACATGTACGTGGATTATGTTGCTAGTATACACACATATATATATATATGTATATATATATATGCCTCTATATGTAGATATAGGTAGAGATGTTTTTATAGTTGAGCTCTAGAATATACATTTTAATACCAACACGTTGATGGTAATAAAATTTTGCAAAATTTTTAACCAACACTATCAAACAGTTGCACGCGGTATATGCACATAATCACCGTATTGTAAAGGATTTTAGTATTTAAATTCAAAACGAAAACAAAAAGTAACGCAAAAAAATATGTATATAAAATAAGGATTAAAATCGAAAAGATATAAACAGGGATGAGTTTCGAAAAATGTTACATTCGCGCTTAAGGCGCATGAAAGGTAAAAATTTAAAAGTGTTACAATATTCTTGCAAAATATTCGCATTTGGAATAATAGCTACTCCATTAAGCTTTTATACTTGATCGCAGATAGTAATAAATATTGATAGGTTACGATCAACAAAAATATATTGTTACATATCCAGTGGGTATACTCGAAAAGGTATCAATGAACAGATGATTTTTAGAGTAGAAAAAAATTGACCGCTTCTCTAAGGCAAACTATTTCAGCAATGGTAGGAATGGCAGAAGAGATTATTCAAATGTGTAACGAAACCCTCCCTGCTCCTCAAAAACAAAGATCACTTTAGGTTTGACTCATTTTTTTCTTTTTTTTTTTTTTATTCAAAACCAAAGCGCCTTTGAAAAGTTTAATGCCTTTGTTGTAAGCAAATTTACGGCGTCCGAATTTTGCCTTTGCAAATGAGTTAGTTATTCCTATGTAATGAGCACCTGTCAACGTTACTTACCCTTCACTTTTTAGGGACCACCTCTGAAATGCTTACTGTTTGAACATTATACTAACTTGCCATTGTTTTAATAAAAGTAATGTGAGAACTTTGAAAAACCTTTGAATTTCCACTTAGAAAGCTCGGTTAACTAATTGGAAGATCTCTATTCTAAGCTTCCTATGCGATAAAAGATTTGCAAAAATTTCAGAATTCAGGAGCTTCTATTATTTCACGAGCCCTAGAAAAAATAGTCCCGATTTTGACTCTTCAAAGGGTTTTCATTGCGTACATTGATGCCTCGCATTACCTTATCATATTCACCAAGGGATGTCGCTGATCAAAATACATACAAGCACCTGTTAATAAATATTCGTAAATTGATTCATATTAATGCATAAAGAAAGGGTGCTCCACAGTGTTCAAAGCATTCACTAAATGAATAAAAAGAAAAAACTGGATTTTTTAAAAAATATACAATGACGTTACTCCTTAAGGTCTCATGGTATTCATGGTATTTTTGACCAAATATTTGAGCGTTTACAAAAGTAAACAACACTACCCTACTGATAAACAACGATGCTACTAACTTTATATTTGTAAAGAAGACGATTTTAATAGCAATCACTCGCCTGATATACAAAACGCTTTCACGGGCAGGGTGGTCACGCCGTAATGATGGGTTGTATCGACAATCTTAACTCCGCTGATGTAATCAACATGCTTGCAGATCCACACGCCGTCTACAGCAGTCCTATATTCTTAGTATTACAAAACAAAAAAAAGAAAGAAAAAAAATGCTTTTGGAAGCACTCATTGATTTTAAAACGCAACGCAACCCAAAACATATTTTGTATGTCCTTTCTGAATAGCTTTATTGATGGATGACCATTAACGCATATGTCATGATCAGGAGAAATAATTCATCAACGTTCCTCCCCCGCCCAAGATTTTTCGCTACCTATTTTTGTCGTTCAAAAGGCGAATAAAATTAGCGAACATATTTGTTATTCAATTTCAAAGACCCTTATGCTTTTATCTTTATCCTTCAAAAAATTGCAAATTAATAGCAGAGAACTTTGCGCAGAAATTGATTTTAAATTAGTTGCACGTAGTTTACAGAACAGCAGAAAAAGTAAAAAAGCAATCCCGTAGATTTTGATGGAAGCACCATGGATCAAAATGAAGATGACGGTGATTAGAAGCCTACTGCGAAGTTAGTTAGTGTTATTCTCACTTCTTAAGACTTATCGCTTGATTGATTTACTTAGACATCTTTCCTTATAATTTGTAATGAATGATGATGTTAGTCATTCAAGAAGACAGCGATGCGTTCATATTTTTCAAAATAGAATAGAGAGAATAAAGAATTGCAATAAAATTAAGAAATAATTATAAAATAAACTTTGGCGTATTGCATTATTGCAATTAAGTCAATCCAATAGAGAAGTTTAGCAGTATTTGAGCGGATATGATAACAGATAATTATGCAGATTCGTAATGCTTTGTATTTCAATTTCCGTGACAAAGAAATGAGCGGAGCGGACAGTTACGTCGAGCAAGTTTCGCTCTACCTTAGCCTTGCTCAAGAATTAAAAGCAAACAAAAGTTTGCTAAAAAAAAAAAAAAACTAAACCAATCTAAAGACTCACGCTATATGCCTGATTCACAATTTACCTGAAGGATTGTTATTCTGCATTTTTTTAAGCAAATTTTTTTTTTATAAGAGTGAAAAACAAAAGTAAATAAGAATAAATAAAATAAAACACGCTTCATATATGTAAATATATTTCCTTTCTTTTCAGAATGTTAAAATCGACATAAGGCAACAATTGGGTAAGTTTACGAAAGTAGAGTTTCCGCACTTCCCTCTCTCTCTGGCAGACAGACATATGTTATTTTCCATAGATACCGTTTTGCGCAATCATTTAATTTTATTCTTAAAGTATTCGTTCACTACTTTATAAAATTGAAATTTTCTTTTTACTTTCATACATACATTTATATTAACTTTTTCGATTTTGTATTTGTTCCCTTTGTTGTTTCCTTTTGTTGTGAGAATTATATTACGTCTTTTTTCATGTATACACATACAACATTTATAAAAGTAAAAAAAAAAAACAAAAAAAAAAAATTAAAAAAATAAAAAACAAATAGAATTTCAAATGAGCAAAAACTAAAAGAACTGAAACTGAAGTGAAAAAACAAAATTTGCTGTTTAAACAAAATTAACGTATTATGTCTTCAACTCATGGCAAATCTGAAGGAAGCGAAAACCCAAGACAAGAAATGGAAAGAGAAGAAAATGAAAAGCAACTACAAGGAGGTAACAATAGCCAACCGTTCGTTGTGGTACTCGATGAAGGTACACATACCACGGCAACGGAAACAGAAACGGAAACTGTAAATGATGCCACAGCAAACGACACGAGTATTAATGTAGAACCCGTAGTGAAACCAAGTACATCATCCTCAACAACAATTACAACAGCAGCAACAACAACAATAACAACAACGATAACAACGTCAACTTCCAAATATCAAAAACATTTCCAAGAAATTACAACCGAAAGCAAGGCTCTTCCATCTGCAATTAGTTTGGAAAATAAAAAGTTGAATGAAGATAGCTTAGCAGTTGAAGAGGAAAGTTTAAAACCCTTTGAACTATTACTATTACAGCAGCAGCAGCAGCAGCAGCATGAGCAGCAATCACAACAACAAGCTCATGTAGCTGAAATAATCGAAACTAATAATACAGTTAATTGTCAGCCTAGCTCAACCCAAATCTTAAACGAAGAGGGCAATAACCAATGCAAGGCTTTAATACCTTACAATTCGGCTAACGTGTGCAATACGCTTGGAAACTATATCGCAAGTCATTCATTCACATCGCAAAACCCATTATTAAATAATGAGGAAAGTAATGTGTCAGTCGATCCATTGTGGTTAGATAATGAATCGAGTTTCCCAGCCGAAGAAGTAACACAAAATATAATCATTAATATTTCAGAGACGCCTTCGTCTAGCATGCTACATAGACTTCCGCTAAGACATCGAATGCGTAATCTGTTCTCCGATACTATTCGTTTTTGTCGCTGCCCTGCTTTTGCCCGCGACTGTATTATTATTTTGTGCATGTACATTGGATTCACTCTCTTAATATTTACGTTGACTTTACTCTCGTATAACTTTTTACGTTCCACCGTGGAAGCTTATCGTAATGATGATCGTCACTCTGTCTGCCCATATCTACCCAATTTCTAATCCAAACATCTATTTAAAAAGCAAAAACAAAAAAAAAAAACAAAAACAAAATTCCGCGAATAAATTTAGTAAAAACAAAAAAAAATTTAATCCACTTACGTGTAACCTTAATTAATGATCTGCTTGCTTAAGCAGTAATACATTTTATTTTCTTATAAACTCTGCTCTTATTTAGGGAACGAACTTTGGTCATTTACAGTCAGCTGTTACTTCATTGTTGTGCAGCTAGCAAAATCTTGTTGAAAGATTGAAACATGCCGAGACTGTAACTTCGATCGATTCTTGAAGGTATTGCTACGCGTAGGTACAATTTCATCCGTTTTTGTTTTAAATGGGGATATTGCTTTAAATCGTAATGATTTTAAACTTTTTAGCTTACATTGTGCGTAATAGCATTGAATCAAATATTATTCATTTTGTCAATTCGTTTGTAACACCACGAAGCAACTTGCAGAGATCCCACAAACTATATTTATTCTTGATTATCTTGAATCGATTTAAGCTGGTCTGTTCGTTGTCCATCTCTCCGTCGACCCAACTGTATAATGTCTGTTGTAAATATTTCCCTGGCCGCAAAAATGAAGACATCGTCTGCAGATTTGCAGAAGAGCTTGTAAATACCAAAAAAATACGCCTTTAGGGCCCAAACGCATGCGACCAATCATATGCGCAATAAGAACATCGTTTGCTTGCTTGTCTCTTGGTTGTAACTCATAAAGTACAACGGAGACACCATATCCAATTCCTCATGATTCGCTGCCCCCCATTACGCATTGACGTAAGGAAGTATTTGGGGTTTCAAATGTGCTTTTGATTTCCCAAAAGTTCAAGAATTTCGTAAACATTTTTTTGTTCTTTTTCGAGGTTGGTTTCGCACAACGAGACAGTAAAAGTTAATCTATACACATATATATGTGCGAATAGATGATTTTATTCATTGACATGGTTATATAAATATGAATTTTTCCCCTTGCCGTACGGGTTATTTTCGGAAACTCACATAGAATGCCACTCGCTTAAATACTGACCGTTAATAAACGACTTCAAAGGCTGCGAATTTTGATTGATGTGTCGCTGAGGAGGTGTTGGCTGCATTGGTGAAGTCACGCTGAGAGTGCGATAAAAGAAAGCTGTCAAAAAAGAAGCGCTAACAACAAATGCTGCAAAGAAACCCAAACAGAAAATACAATCCCTATTAACCTGCAAGCACATGCAGATAGCAGCGCAAAAATCACAAATTGAATTCCAAATGCGACTGCATAACGGTGCACGCCGCAAATCGCTGGAGGGCGGCGATGAAGCAGCCTCAATATGTATTGTGTGGAATTGTTGAGAACAAGGTTGTTCGACCATGACTGGTTCCAAACCGGGTGTAATAAGCGATCCCTCAACTTTAATGAGCTTCTCTTTCGATCCATTTTCATCCACTCGGTGCAAGTCGCATTTTATGAGATGCGCTTGCGAATTGATTAAAAGCGCTGCATCAGCATTGGTAAAATTGTTCAAAGAATTTTGCAATCCCGATTTGCTTGTACTGGCAGAAGGGTTCAAAGATGATAAGCCCAGAGATGTGCTAATATTCTCATGAAATGATGTTTGACAAGAAATTGGAACTGCGCTAGCTGCTGTACATATATTACAATTGCTTGTAGCTACGGCTACATCTTTGTAATTTGGCGTTAGATCGACGATAGCGGTTTGCTTGCCAAAGGAAGCTATCGGAAATACAGACTTAAAATAGTAGTAAAATCTTTATGTTTATGCCATTGCGTACCAGTGCTTTGTGCTTCTTCATTTAACTTAATCACGCTCAGCTTTTTTTCTAATTGCGAATGAAAGTCAGCATAACGGCTTATATGGACTTTCGGGTGTACATCTTTTTTATCAATTTTTTCACGGCCATCATGGCGATACTTTCGGCGGGGAGAAGCCACTACCGTGGCCTGTGTTGGTTCAAGGGATTCTAAATTTTTTGTGAAAGTATCAAACATTTCCATAATTTTCTCAAAACGTTTCGCTATTGCTCCATTTTCTTCTTCAATTTGCTTCAATTCTAGCTGCGTGCACTTCTGTTGCAGCTTCACTTTTTCTAGTTGCAAAGGCTTTTGAATTTTAAGTGTTACATCATCAGCGCTCCATAGTCTACGCGGTAATAATAATGAAGGCTCCCCCGTACTTGTAGAGGTTTCTGGCGCCAAAATAGTGATAGTACTTAAATCTGCATCAATACCCTGAATTTGCTCCAACTCTTCATGGAATTTGACATTTTTCGATTCTTTTGGAGCAGTTTCAGTGTCTGTAGCCGTGATATGGGAACCTCCCAGGTGTATGCGCACCTCTCCACTGTCGGAATGCACAAACACGACAGGACTCTCCTCCTCACCTCCTATTTGATCATTTTCCTCATGATTGTCACTTTCAACATGATTTGTCTCTTCTTGTTCAACGTCTTTTGTGTGGTCATTTGATTCTACTGCGGACGGACTAAAGTCCATTTGCGATAATATATAATATATAGTAATAATAATAAAAAAATATTAATTAAAAAGAAGATCAAACAAAAAACTATGAAAATATATTGTTTTTAATTGTTTATTTGCTCTATAAAATGTCAAAAGTCATTTCAAACCTTTCGTTAAAAATCGATTCCGTTGATCCCTAAATCTCTGACAGCTGATATCTCATGATTAATTACAAGCTAATGGCTAATTGGTTTTCTTATGCATTCTACGAATTTTCAACGAGCTCTTAAGAGAATCGTTGAAAACAAAATAGCGGAAATTATTTAAAATTGGTCATGAGTGCTACATAACTCAATACTGTTATCTTGCTTTTGGCCAGGTGGTTCGTTTGTGGCATTGTTTTTCAAGCGTTGCATTGGACTTTCCACCCCTTTATTACTCTATAAATTTTCATCAGCATCGTCGTCATCATCATTGTTGTCGTCATAATCACCATCATCAGGGCCAGAGACCAACCGACCGCCATTATCTTATAGCTTTTTATGTCTGCGGAAAAATTCGCAATCAATGCGTGCATAAATTTTTCTCAACCGCACACGCATGGCCAACCCATATATACATACATACAAGCCAAAAAAAAAAAACAAAAAAACAAAAAAGAAAATGTATTTACATATATGCGCGTATGTGCATGTTTTTGCCAGACTCGTTGATTTTAGGTGCGGTCCCCCCTTTACCGTATTACCTCGTCATTCCACAAAGTAATGTAGTCGAAAGATAAGCTGCGTTGTGTTGAAAAGGTTTATGTTCCAATGTACTTCTTTCTTTCCTACGTTTTAATACTGATCATCACGACAAAAATAAGTCTACTGACATTGTCGTTGCTTTTGTAACAACTCAAAAGTCTACTGGCGGTTACTTTTCGTGAATCTCTTGCAGTCCCGAAAACTAAGCATAAGAGTTCAATGAACTGGTTGCTGCCTTTGATATGGGACGTCGTAAAACCTAGACCAACTGGCTTAGTAGAGACATTCCTAATAAGAGAAGTTTTGATAGCAAAAGTTTAATAACATTCGTAGGTCGGATTACATACGCGTTTGCCTTAGTCACATAAAAAAAAAAACGGAAAGTAATGTGGACGCGAGCTGCTCTATAGCCAGTTATAGCCTTTTCTCTTACCTTTATTTATTCATTTTTTTTTTTTTTTTTGATATATTTTTTGAATGCTTTTTTGCATTTGTATTATTATATTTTTTTATTCAGTATCGTAGGATGAGCGCGTATTCATTCTGCCAAAACATTTGCAACATCCAGAAAGAAAATTTGGAAACGTTATAAAGTACATATATTCTGGATCAGTACCAAATAGTGATTCGATCTAAGCAGCTCTGTCTTTATCTTGCATGGGTTGGCCTTAAAGATGGATCAAATCGGTCGAAGCACTTGCCTGCAGCACAGCGTAAACTGACAATCCATCTGCTTCCTAGTTTTGTTGCTCACTGCTTATGAACTGCAAAGGGTATACATTACAAAGACTTTCGTATGAACTCTACAGATCCTGAATATGAGAACGCAGACGTGTTAACCCGATGTTACTATCGCTATTTCTTTTAGTTTTTTTTTTTTTTTTTTGGGTTTGAAATGAAAGTTTGGTGGATATAAAATATTCGACCTTAGCTGTATATAATTCTTTTACTTATTTTTTTTTCGGAAATTATGTAAAATTTTTGGTCCTTTATGCTGGCGCTGCTGTGTAGTTAAAGCTTTATATATGTATCTGTGTGCATTTGTACAGAAATTTTCATTTTTTTAACACTTAATTGTCAGTTGAGAGAGAATCAGACGTAAGCCATTTACTGAATAATTGCTAAAACGGTAAAAGCAAAAGAAAGGAATGGTTTTTGATTTTAAACAATTTAAAAGATTCGCATTAGTTTAAAAAAACCTGGAATGCTAAAGGATATTAAAAAATATCTTTTTGCTTAAAAGGATTACAGGGGAATGTACTTGGAGAGCTTAATATCAATAAAATATTTAGCTTTCATTAGGCGGCTGGGCTAACTGTCTACCATATCTCTTGAAAAAAAAAAAGAACCGAGAGTCTTAATAGCTCATGCTCATCACACCTTTAGTCGTTTGGTCGTTTCGATTTCAATACATTTTATTGATAACGCAGGGCATGTTTTACAAATCGAATATTTTTCCTTAAGTAATTGAGAAACTCTCCATGAATGTCTCTTTTATGTTTACATGTATAGAACTTTAACAATTTCTTAGATGCTCTGAGAAACTGTTTTAATTCCGTCATCACACTTCTTCGCACATATAACAAGGAAGTGTGCAATTGATTTCTTCATTTGTGCTTTCAGTTTCCTCTCTAACGCTTGAGTGACTCAAAAAGTATCGGTGTGTGTAGTACCGGCCCTCTGTCGTCCACTGAGCTCTCATTTTACATTTAGGTATTAATGAATATTATAACGACATTATCGCAGGTAGCGAGAGAAAACACCGTGGCCTTTTACGTCGCGCTAATCAATAAAGCTCTCTTTGGATGGAGACCAAAGAAGAATTTATTAATAATTTGACTCAGTGTTAACCTAAGTTTTTCATAAAATCAATTTTTTATACCCTACACAACTTGTGGTAGGCGGATGTATTAAGCTTGAGATACAACCGCTCTTTATTGCAACAATGGGATCAGAATTACTTTTTGCATCGGTCCTAGCTTGCCTTTCCGCTTGTCTGCCTGTCTTCTTTTCTTGTGCTCAGCCTACAGCTCGCAGTTTTTGAGATATTTTGATGAAGTGTTGTGCATGCGTTTGTTTTGAGCTAAGGACGACCACCGCTATTGAAAATGGTTTAGATCGAATCACTTTTTCTGAAAACTCGTCACAAGATAAAGAACAATTCAATGGAATTCGTGACGTATGTCTATGGAACTTGGAAGGCAATAAATAGAAGGACTTTATTTATATTTAGGCGAAAATTGAAAATCCGAACAATTGCGAAAAAGTGAAATACGCAAACTCGCGAAATAATAAACCGTACCTTTACCGTACAACGTCAAAAGTACAACGTCAAAGCATATTGATCGTCTTTTACGAAATTTCATTGCGGATTAGGTTCCATCGAGGCTAGTTTTATATCCACTCTTATCTTTTGTTTATACTAAACACATGCCATGGAACAAACATAAATGTTGCGTGTACATTTGTGTATTTATGCGGCAAACTAAAAAATTAACTTAAATCTTAAACTTATTCGTAATATAGTTGGCGCAGTGTAAAATACTGAACTCAACTGTAAAAAACTTACAAATTATGCAGTTTTCCAAACGTAATATTCGCGTAACGTGTGTTAACGGCAATAAAAGCACATTGAAATATTGAAAATATATATATCGGTTAGTTTTCCTTATTTTGCATTTTTGATGATTTTCCAATAATTAAGAACTTCCGAAAAGAGATTCGTTTCCCCTACTATTCGACGTTTTGTTCGCGGTTGACATAAGTTAATTAATATTCCGCTTTCTTCCTTCCGTTTTTCGTGACTTTGCTGACACCGCAACATTTTAGACAATGAAGACGGACAGACAATCCTGTCAATATTTATAAAATGGGTTCTACAGCAAACGCTAGACAAGCAAGCAATGCTTATATAGTAAACATTGTCCTGTGGATGTAAGTAAATGTAAACATTATAATATTTTTTTTTTTTTTTTAACAATTTATACGTAAACTGGAGTAGTATAAGTAACTCGTTACATTGCAATGCTTGCATTTAAATTTTTATTTTAAAATTATCGGAATAAATATTTGAACTTTTTTGTTCTCTTTAACATTATTTTTATTTTCTCTCTAAATGCGTAATTTTAAGTTTCTATTATGCGGAATTTTTTTTCTTTTTTTATTTTTTTTTTTTTGCTTTTTGCTGCGACTGTGCTATGTTGTTGTTTAGAGGATTTAAACACAAAATGTTTATTATTTCTCCAAAGTGAATATTGTTGTTTTTATGGTACGTACACACGATATTTGTTTTAGAAAAAGAATTCAGTTTCCTTTTTTCCTATATATATACATATATATATATATACATATATATATTTGTTTATTTGGTTTGGTTTCTTTTTCACTTTTTCGAGCACAATAAAAAAGGATAACGGACAGAAAAATCGTAAAAAAATATATATATAAAATGGATTTGAAATGATTGTATTGATTTCTTTTTCCAGTTTTCTATTGCACGAACAATAAATACATTTTTAGCGAAGTTTTTCAATTTGTTGTTACTGTTGTTATAAAAAAAAAAAAATAAACAAAATGCATGTTTTCGAGGATGAATATGGAATCTATATGGAATACTAGGGAGGCTTGTGGTTAATTTCATTTTAACGTACAGTTACAGTAAAAGTTTATGTTTAACTTAACTATAGTAAAAAGAGCACCTTATACGATTTACCGAATAGATTAATTGGAATCTATCCAATCTTACCAACTTCTCCTTCAGCTGACTTAAACGATGCCTACGAAAGAAACCTACTTCAGCCTCAGTTCGGGTAAATACACACTCTTGAAGTTGTTGTATTCAGCCTAAGACAACCATTGTGTCAAAATGACGACCAAGTTTAATATATAGATCGTTTCGGGACAGTTTCGAAATCGCTAAGAACAGTGGGAATGTATAGAAATTGTGCTAGCAAAAGCTAGTCATCTATAACAAGTAAAATGCGCTATAGCGCGCCACGGCCCGCCATTAAATACTACATACAATTAGTCAATTATTCCTCTTTTCACAACAAACCGTTACAGGCAAAGCATTGTCAATGGTTTCCGGCCTTGGGCCAAAACGCGTCAATGTGTCAAATTTGTCCCACGTAGGTTTATCTTTTCGATACCACAGCATATAAGGATTCTCAGGAAATGCAAACCTTTATATGTCACAAAGGTGTAATTGCTAATGATGATGAATGATGAAAATTGGTTCATAGCAGCAATTTATCTAAAAATTTATATAGTAAGGAATTTGGATTATATAGATCCATTTTTCTGACCTTAACACATAT